TAACAAAAATTCTTTTATCGTTAAGTTTTAGGTGTTAAAATAAATGGTAAGAGAGGGAAATTTAAAAATACTTATAAATTCCTAACAGTAAAAATTTTAATGATTCACTCAAAGTTTGATAACGGTAAAAGAATTTTTGGGTCCATTTGTTTTATTATTTTGGATAGGATTTTAGGAATAATATTAGATAGTTGAGTAGGGTTATTATTACGAGAATAAAATTTAAAGAATATGTGTTTGGTAGAGTATTTTGACCTTGATATTTGTGTTGAATATTTGATTAATATATTTTTTTTATAAATGATTTATTAATATAATATTTTGGTGCATTTTGTTAAAATAATGTATTATTATAACCTTAAAACTTATCAATTTACATTTTAATAATATTAAACATTTTATTCGTAATTTTGTAACCAGTAAATGTTAAAAAACAAAAACTCATATTAATTTCAAGTACTAATCCAACTGTTTAAAAACATCACATTAATACATATATGACAAAAATACTAATTATCAACCCTTACAATCGTTCTTACATGTATACTCCATTAACAACTACGACATGGTTCACTGTGTTGCCCACAATGCATTCGTTATGTTATCCCGCATTCGTTATGTTATCCCGTACAGTCGTCATGTTGTCTATAATACCTTGCTGCGGTTGACTCAGTTCTTCTCCATTTCGGCCATCTTCTGCCCTGTTTTGGTGATCAAAATATACTTGCTCATTACCCGTATTTTCAGTATACTATTCGAAGATAGGGTCCTCCATATTATACATTCTAATAAAATTATGAAGTACACAACATGTCATAACAATTTTCCCTTGCTTGTCCAACGGGTAATTGTTCATTCCATTCAGAATACGGAACCGTCTTTTCAAAACACCAAAGGTTCTCTCGACAACATTGCGAAGTGAATCATGTTTGTAGTTAAACAACTCTTGTGACCCCCTTCGGTTACGACGGTGATCAGAAATATGGTAAGCGACTCGCCTATGAGGGGCGAGGAACCCCTCTCTATTTGGATAACCCGCATCAACAAAATAGTATTTCCCTGTAATAAAATCATACATGTTATTTGAATTACAGGGCCTCAACAGTGGAGCAAATATGCTATAATACGTCAAGACAATACTTATACTTAGTGCAGGATGTGGGAATCCAGAATTAGGATCATCAATAATTGAATTTAAAACTATTGAATCATGCGCATATCCTTCCCATCCAATAACGACATAAGTGAACATCATCCTAAAGTCGCATGCAGCCATTACATTCTGTGACAACGTTCCTTTGCGATTCTAGTACCTATCGGCAAATTCATGTGGAACCAAAGCGTATACATGTGTGCCATCAATGGCTCCAATACAGTCCTATCATCAAAATTGAATTTTACTCATATTAACCGACTATCAACATTAATAACACAATGAACTTAACTATCCACTAATAGAAAACATAATGAACCAGTACCTTAAAGAAATGGTAATATTTTCAGTTGGCTGATATTTCCCATGGAACATCACTGAAGTTAGGTGGTCTGATAAACTCTGTCTTCAACTCACATATCGCCTCACAAACTGTGCTAACATGTCTAGAGATCGTCTCACCCGAATGTTGGAAATCCTCTATCATCGTTCTGATTGTCTCGTTTTTACCAACGATTGTTAGAAATGTCATAACTTGTTCCTCCAAACTCGTCTTCCTGGTTGGTCGCAATTTGCCTTGCTCTGGCAAAATGTCACATAAGTATGTAAAACAGTCTTTGTCCTTGCGGCACTTGTCAAAGATCCTGTCAGCATGACCATTGAGTACTTCCAACATTTACTCATGACTAGTTAATATGGATGTATGTCGTAGTTGACGCCCAATTGTTTCTAACGAGGCAACACCGCAGAGTGCAATGGCTATATCTGTCAGTATTTCTTCTTCGTCATCTATAGAACGTCATCTTCTTCTTTTACGGCTAGACGACGCCATTTAAACCTGCACATTTGCAAAACATTGATCAACAATTAATAGTTGTTGTACTACTTAGCAAAATATAACAGTCAATATTTAATTCTAATTACAATCCAAAACTCATATGAAACATGTAATCTCACATAAAATAGTAGCACAATTAATAAGTTCATACAGTAGCGTTATAAATTCTAATTCTAATGACAAGTACCCATTAACGCATACAAAAGTGTTGGCAAACACTTAGGACATACAGTGTCATCTACGAATTGTAAAAGTCGTTATAAATCTAATTAGCCTTTTCCTTGGGCGGGAGTTTCACGAATATCTCTCACTACCCTGGGTTTTGATATAAGTACTTGACAACCGGCATGTAAAACTTTGTAGGTACTTGCATGGCTGTCATGATGTCAATACAATTGCTCATGGAAAACGGATCAGATGGACCATTGGTGTTCTCTTAGTCCCTCGATCCCATAGTCCGCTTCTCCACAAGCTCGTCCGTCAATCTACCAATGACATCCGCAAGTGATTGTCCCGGGCCATTTATATTCCTCCTATTTCTCACTTTTCCATGGCCAGATGTGTTTGGCCGTTTTTCCCTTGTCGTCCGATCTGGATCAGGTTCAAAGTCGCTATCATCTATGGGAACCGCGCCTTGATTGGAATAAGAGGAGGTCTCCACCGGTTGAGATGTAGATGTGTACACATATCTCCCAGTGGCAGTTTTCTTCTCAAATGTGATTTCATAAAGCTCCTTGTGAGGAAGTCCCTTGTGGTAGAATTGTTGCGCTAGTGGGTTTTATTGGTAATGCAAAAGAATAATATATTAATATTTGGCAGTCTGGAAAAAAAATGCGTACAATTACGGTGTCGTTGATTAATATTAGTTAAACAAGTTGAAAATTTATTTTCACATATTCTTCCCAAACCTCTACGGGACACGTTGGACTTTGTGACTCATAATCCCACTTGAACCCCGTGTGTTGCAACAATTTCCGCCATGCTTGATATACTCTTCGCAGGCAAAAGTACTTAGAGGTTAGTTGTGTGACGTTGAGTCTCCTCCCAACCACTGATGATAAGTCGTCCAACATTTCCTGGTAATCTGCTATTTTTATTGAAGTACTATGCGAAGTTTTCGCCCGCTCAGACAACAGGACCAGAAATTTGTGGGTCATCTCAGCAGACCAGTTCTTGTTAGCACTCATCTAAGGACAATACGGTGAGAACGACAACCAACATTGGGTCACCATACGAATCACACAAACAGACATACGCACATGTAAACGTAATCAAGTAAACATAGGTAAACTTATACCTCGTTCGATTCAACACTACTTGAAGACGTCAATGCAGGGAAGATACAGACAATGTCGACCAACAAGGTGTATGACGAACTCCAAGTCTAGAAAAATGTCGAAACTTTCGCCTCTGCTGCAAGAAGTAATCAATCATGCGACGTCGGGACAAATTATATTGACATCTGTGTATATGAGCGTAATTTATTTTTACAATTAAAGAACGATGTCGAATCTACAGAACAAATATATCAATTAGTGAAATCCCAAAAAAATATTTCCAATAATCCAATAATTTTTTACTCCCAAAATTTATCCATTACATGCAGTATGTTACACGCATAACATATGAAGCTGCACAATATTTTGACGCATATGCTAAACACTGTAAGCAACATGGCACATGCTCAAACCGTTAAACCCACAAACAAATCCACCAGATCTAAGTTTCTCATATGCAAAAATCACTTTGAGTTCACCAATTATAAAACGCATTATTAAAGTCTAAATTAAAAGGCATAATAAAAGGAAAAAATAGTACTAACACAAAGCCAAAATAAAAATAAAAATTAGGACAATTGCATTGGGTGTCTTGAAAACAAACATGTCACAAAAGCTGAGAAACTGGATTCACAAACTTCGCGGGTCTTTTTCCCTTCTCTGAATAAATTCACGGGTACAACATATTTACAAACCCGCAAAACAAAAAAAAAATCAACAGATTTACAAACTCAACTCGCAAACTTCATTCGCAAACAAATTCATGCGCACATCTTTTGTACAACAGATTTACAAACTTGCAAAAAAAAAGCAAAAACACCTTTTCCGTTCACGGTGTTCCCTTCACGGAAGTCAGATCTTTCCGGTGGAGGTATTCACGGGTTTGTGGCTTCACGGTGGTGGATCTGCGACGTACGTGGGTGGTTGTGGTGGGTTTGTGACGATCGGAGACGTTGGGGCTTCACGGTGGTGGATCTGCGACGTACGTGGGTGGTTGCAGTGGGGTTGTGACTATCGGAGACGTCGGGGGCTTCATAGTGGTGGATCTACAATGTACATGGGTGGTTGTGATGGGGTTGTGACGATCAGAGACGTCGGGGCTTCACGGTGGTGGATCTGTGACGTCGGTGGGTATTCGTGGTGGGTTTACGATGATGGTGATGGGTGGTGGCCGTGCGGTTATGTTGTGATGATGTTGGCAGATTGATTGGGTGGTGCTGTGGGGTGGTTTTCTGATTCAGGTGGCTGGTCGTTTGGCTAATGTGCTTTGTTTTGTATTTGCAGGTGGAAGATTATGTTGGAGAAGAATTTGTTGGAAGGGTAACAAGATGGTTTGTGACGGTGGTGAAGCACTGAAGCAATGAACCAAACTGAGAAAGTGAAATGGTGAAGCACTGAAACAGTGAAGAAAAGTGAGAAAGTGAAATAAAAGCAGGACCGCAAATTGTCTTCAACTGTCTTAAACTGTCAAGATTCTATTTTCAGGATTGCATTGTCTGAATAATAAGCCAAACGTTATTTGTAAAATCACGTTATTTTCAGGATTGCATTGTCTGAATAATAAGCCAAACGTTATTTGTAAAATCACGTTGAGAATATGGGTAAAAATATTGAACCAAACGCACCCTTTATTATTTTAAAAAGCTTAAATAAATTTTTGTTATTTTATAATGCTTAAAGGGTTTTAAACACAACAAATAGGTAAAGAAATGGTCGCAAGTGAACACAGAAACTAACAGAAACGAGTTTCGTTGTAACTTGACTGAATAGCTGCTCTCTTGGCGCCTCTGTCACTGTTCCTTTTTCAACTCCTAAAAATCAAAACCAAATTTGACAACAGGACCTTCTGTTAACGGTCAGTTCACTCGAAAACCAAAAACTATTAATAATTCTCCTCCCTTCCACTTTTCACTTTCACTTTTTCGCAAATCATTTCCTCCGCATGATCGCCTCCACTTGCCCGCTCCAAACCGCGTCGATCCTCCTCTCGAATCTCAATCTCAGCCGTCCGTTCGATCATCTTTCGAAACCTAGACTGACTGCTACCTCCTCCTCTCCGTCGTCGCTTTCGGTGGATCGGAGTCGGAGTAACTGTAACATGGAGTGGCTTCGGAGGATGGGCGGCGGCTGCGTCAAGGATCGCCGGAGTAAAGTTCTTAAAGTGGAGGCTGACAGCGGCGGTGAAGATGTCTTCAGTGCCGCCGCCAAGCCGCCGCCCGAGCATCTTATTGTCATGGTTAATGGACTTGTTGGCAGGTTCCACTAATTCAATTATTTATTCTTTTGTTTTTTGATCTTTTTTTGTGATTTTAAGTATTTAACTTAAAAATCTTGACTATTATTTTTTAAATTTGATTTAAATTAATTACTACTATATTTGAATATATATTTTTTGTTTATGTTGTAGTGCGGCGGATTGGAGATATGCTTCTGAGCAGTTTGTGAATAAGATTCCGGATAAAGTGATTGTGCACCGTGAGTGACTTTTGTCTCTTATGTTCAGTAAGAATACATATTAAGAAGACTCTAGGAGTTGAAAATTACATTAAGATTATGTATATATATGTTAGAACGAGTTGGTCCGCATTTTTAGGGAAATTGGCACACTATTTTTAGACTATAGGATAGTATTTTTTGGGCGGTTCGGAATGAATCTAGCATGCAATTAATGTAAGAAATGCGGTTTATGTGGATTTATGTGGAATCTGCAGCGTAAGTGATACACTATAAAAGCTTGCTTTCACTCGATAATTTGGTCAAGCTATATATATTTTTCTTATTAGCAACATGAGTCTAATTGTGCTCATCTGGTCATTGGTCAACAAAGTTAAGAATTCATTTTACCCCAATACTGATATGCTAAATGTTTCATTAGTGTTGGATTGTGCGAAAAAATTGTCAGTAGACATTCTTCATATGATGTTGGATGTATTTCATGCCTAGCAATTTGTGGACCTTTTTTTTTTTTTTTTATTTGTGTGTGTGTGTGTGTGTGTGTGTGATTAGTAACATACTTATTTCTGATTAAGTATACTCTGAGCAGGCAGTGAATGCAATTCTTCAAAATTGACATTCGATGGCGTTGATTTAATGGGTGAAAGGCTGGCTGACGAGGTATTCGGTAATAACAGTTTGATCTTTCATCTTTTGAGGGATGCATAAATTGTTGAACACCTATGAACTACAATTTCTTGGAAAAGTTTTTTCTCACTAGTTAGTAAATAGAGATACTCTTCATGTTACATTTCATGCGAATTTTAGTTCTTCATCAATATCTAATGCAGGTAAGGCGTGTAGTTAGCCATAGGCCTCAGGTACAAAAGATCTCCTTTGTGGCTCATTCTTTAGGGGGTCTCATTGCCAGATATGCAATTGGGAGGCTATATGAGAATTCTCCAAGATTAGACGCCACAGGTAGGAGGCTATATGAGAATTCTCCAAGATTAGACCCCACTGGTATTTCTGGCAATTCCCCAAGTGAAGAGCAGAAAAAATATTCTATGCAATTGCTTGAGCAGCCTTGCGAAGCTAGAATTGCTGGATTGGAGCCCATGAACTTCATAACATTTGCAACACCACATCTTGGTTCAAGGGGAAACAAACAGGTAGACTATGCATTCTCTTACATGTTATCCATGATAGAATGCTTATGTTGTATGTTTTCATTAAGGGTTTGAATTTTGATCATAATGTGTTTGACTTTTGACTATAAAAGATGCTTAAAATGATAAAGGAAAAGAATATTTGACACTTCTTGTAATAGGAAAATCCTTCATAATTGATTCGGGAAAATGACCGTTCTTTTATCAGACATAGTTCATTTTTTCACTTCATTGGGCTCTGGTGACTTCTGAACTGGGAAGCAGTTGTCTTTGATTTTTAGATGAGTTTTTGTCTTTTTTTTGGGATCTTTTTCTGATATTTTTAGAATCAGGACTCTTTTGGAGTGTACAGAATTTCTTAAAGGTTTATTGCTGGACTAGCATGCTGTGAGTAGTTTTCTATTTTGCTGGCTGACAACTTGTTCATCCTTGTGTAAATTTTTACAGTCAATATGATTGATCTTTGTCTTATTAAAAGGAAGAAAGAATAAGCATCAATTCTCTGGATAGTGATATGATGGATAGTGAAACACGTATTGTTAACAAGTTGTACTGCATCTTGAGCAGTTTTCACTTTTTGGTTATTCTAATGCTATGTTTTAGTTCTTGCTTTTTTCTTTTTTGTTCTATGTATTTCTTCTATCTGTTATGATATCAAGAAGATTTTTGATGTTTCCTTATTGCCACAGCTGCCACTTCTCTGTGGCCTACCATTTCTTGAGAGAAGAGCATCTCAAACAGCACATTTAGTTGCTGGGAGGACTGGGAAGCATCTCTTCCTCAATGATAGGGATAATGAAAAACCTCCCCTTCTCCTTCAAATGGTTAACGACTCGGATGATTTAAAATTCATGTGAGTGTTAATTTATCTGTAATACTTTTTTTTTTTTTCAATTTTTGAATCAGTAATATTAGATAACTTTGTATTATTCATATAAACCCTTTATAATGTGTAGATCAGCTTTACGTGCATTTAAGCGCCGTGTGGCCTATGCAAATGCAAATTATGATCGTATCCTTGTTGAATAGATAAATTAGATAAGTTCTTTTCTTGGTCTTTTATGTAAAATCATGTTTGCCTTCACTAATCTTGAAGATATGGTTGGGTGGCGAACATCATCAATCCGGCGTCAACATGAACTTCCAAAGGTGAGGTTTGTTTTTCTTATTTGCATTGACGCATTAAATGTCTGCTTGGTTCCTAATAGGAAAAAAAAAGTGCATATATGTTCAGTGAGACATTACTCTAACTAAATCCATCCCCTTTTTCTTTCTTCCTCTTCATTTTCAGTCCAATCTTCTCACGACTGATGAAAAATATCCTCATATTGTTCACATTGAACAAGCAACTGTGGATAACAATAACAATAAAGCATTGTCTGTTGTTGGAGAGAAACCGATTGACTTGGAAGGTATGTTGAACTTCTTTAGGTGTTCCTTTGGTGAATCATTAGGAAAAAGCAAAATGTCAAAGATTGTGTATTTCCAAGTGCTTCTTTTGAGCATCTAAAGGTTTCACTTTGAGAATATATATATATTTTGATACTTAAAAACGCATACATTTCTTTCTGTAATTAGTCTTTTGTTTTGTTCAAAATGAATTTTAACAATTACAAGAAAAGGAAAAACAATTGATTAAGTGAACTTCCATTTTGAAGAGGATTGTTTTGATGGCTGCTACACAGAGAATTCTTATGTTCTTTCTTGTTGAAAAGAGAGCTGAAATATCAATTCTCAATAAACCAAAAACCGTGGGGACAACTTACCCAAAAAAAATTAAAAAAAAAAAAGAAACTGTGGGGACACATCTGGTCTAGGGTTGAAGCCATCTTAAGTGATGAAAGTAGTATCAATCATGTGAAGCAATGGTGTATAAATTACGGAAATTTTACATGGTACATACATGCATGCCAGACACACACATGCACGGGAAATGGTGAGTGACATTCTTAATGAGTAGTTTTTTTTTTCCCCGAACTTTTCTTACGAACTTATTCAAAACTCAAACGCCCACCAAACCCGACAATCTTTGAGAATTGGGAAACAATGGCCAATTTTTTTTTATTTTTTCTCCGAACTCACTTCGCGAACTTGAGTTCAAAACTGCAGCCCCTGCCAGAACCCACAATCTTTGGGAAGTGTGAAACAATGGCCTTTGGCCATGTAGGTTCCCATGAGGGGATTTGGACCCTAGACCTTGTAAGAGCACTTTGACCATTTAATTAATTCCTCATGGGTAATCGGTCGGTTCTATTTCACACAGCAGTTTCCAATTATAATGTTTGATCTTCCTTTGTGTGACTGTTCCACTTGGACTGATTTCTTTTAGTATGTTAATATGTTTTTATAAGAAACGCTTTGGCTTCTTGTTTTGGGTGTCTAATGTTTTCATTTTGACAAAAGAAATTATAAAAATTCTTATGGTACTTTTCACCTGAAATAAAAGATTTTGTTTTAAATTATAGAAAATCATATCCATCACTTTCTCCAATTAAGATTTTGTTTTAAATTATAGAAAACCATATCCATTACTTTATCCAATTAGTCTTTAGGTCCAATTGAATTTCAGTTTTAAATGAAAAGGAAATCAATTGAACTACTGAGCTTTTAATTAAAAGGGGTTATTTTGATGGTTGCGATACATAGAAACTATATTTTTACTTCAAGTTAGAGAGATCTGAAATATCACCGATATCCAATAACCCTGGTGCACTATCAGGTCTAGGATTGAAGCCATTGTAAATGATACAGCAGTACTAAACATGTGAAAGTGATGAGGTCTAAATGTTGGAAGATGACATGATACACACCTGCACACACACTTATACAGATGAAATAGCAAGTGGAATCTTATAAGCCAGAAACTTAGAAAAGATTCATGAGTAGCTTCTATTTCACTCAAGTTTCTGATTATAATGTTTGATCTTTCTGCACATGACTATTGTCACTCATTTTTCAAATATATTCATATTTCACTGATCTTGCTAGTGTCTATATGTTGAACATTGTTGTTTTATGTGAAGAAATGTTGCAATAAAAAATTGCTCTTTGACTGGCTGATATTTTTGTCAATCTTACATGATATTTCCTGTGGTGTAAAATTTACAAGCATAAGGAATTGCATTTTTGTTGCATAGTTAGAGAAAGGAATATGTCTTTTATGGGAATAGTACTAAACAAATTTTATTTTTGGATACAATTAATTCTCGTATTTTATTTGTATATTCATTTATTTTATTGGTTGCTGCTTATGTTCACATTAGTTGGTTGATTTTGCAGTTAGATTTATGCCATGTTTTGTTGTCATGCTTGTTCCGTGCTTGTGTCCTGCATTTATTCTACAATCATTGCGTTTGATCTTTATTTGCCTTTCAACCTTTTTTCTTGTATTCTTCTTAACAATTTAAGTGTTTCATGGTTACTATAAGCATTCTTATTTCAACTGTAGAGGAGATGATTAGAGGCCTCACTCAAGTACCTTGGGAACGTGTGGATGTTAGCTTTCATAAAAGCAGGCAACGGTATGTTGCTCATACCACCATTCAGGCAAGTTCTGCGGCCAGTTGGCTTTTCTACTCTCCCCATGCATTTTTCCACTGCTTATATACTTTTTTCTGAATCTGATGAATTCTTTTATCACATTTTAGACTCTTGTTTAAGATTAATGCAACAGCCTACCTTTGCTAATATAACAATTAAATCATAATATTTTTCTCTATTTACAAATCATTTATCAGAGCTAAAATGCTGTTGATAAATTAACATGGCATTAGAGCTTGACCAAGTAATCTTGTGTTAAAATCCGTCCATTGTATTAATTAAATTCTATTAAGTTGTATTTGTTGTAAGTTGTAGCCTTTTACGTTGAGTGGTAACTTAAAATGGCATCAAGCTTGACCAGGCAGTCTTATTAATCTTCCCATTTATTTATTAAATGTAATAAATTGCAGTGGTGTTGTGCTTCATGTTATGCTTGTAGTTGTGTTCAATCCATTTACCTTACTCTTAGGAGGATGATGTTAGAGTTTAAATACTATTCTATTGGATGTTTTGTATCAACATAAAGTTGTGGGTTGGGTAGTAGCTTAACCTCCTTGAAGGTGAAAATTTCAACTTTCATGGTCTGATTGGGAATTTAGTGGAACATATGTAAAGATTTCCCAGGAATGAGCCATCCACTTTCATGTAGATGTAACTTGCTACATAGTTTAGAGGTGATATCCGTTTTCTTTCAGCAATCTTTTATAACAAATACCACCACTAATTTCTGCTCTCTGTCATTCTGAGGATAAATAATATTTTTTTGTTGTGATGGTTCACTTTATGGTCTTTACAAAGTTAGAGTTTGCAAATTAATGGTCACTGACTTAATGTTTGATGTTGTCGTGAGTTTCTCATTTTTGTAATTTGCATGTGCAATCAGGTGAAGAGCTATTGGTTGAATTCGGACGGTGCCGATGTGGTCTTCCATATGATAGATAACTTCCTTTTGTAGTCCTTTGCAAGTTTGGAGTCTTGTGATAAATATATCTTCATGGTCCCAATGTGGTTCGGTTACTTCATTCAGTGTATAATGTCATTGTCAAGCATAAAGATGCTGCTGTGTATATTTTTGTGTTATTGTAGGGGCGTATTGGTTCTGCAGAGTACCTCTGTTTTCTTTATTTTAGTGTTTTTTTCATATCTTATGTACATTAATCTAATTTATAAAATGGAACATGATTTTTCCATATATTGTTATTAGGGCTTATATTTAATGAAATTCGATAACTTATATGTTGCTAAATTTAGACAACTCTATTGGTGGTTTGTTGAATCTGGAAACTATTCTAATGAATGCTTGATGAATCAAAATAGACCATCCTGCACAGCATATGGTTCAGATATCCATTGATTTCTAACCATGTAGACAGATGAATATTGTCATATCCAGAACTTAGTAATTGGTGAGGATTTGTCTACATTCACTTGTCAACTGTATTGCTGCTTAAGATTTAGGAATTCATGTCTAATCAAAATCTCCCTTGAGATTTAAGGTTTTGACTTTCTAAATTTCAGGTGAAGATGGCAATTTAGGAGACCCCAAAGTTCGTATAAGGTAAGGCATTCTTAAGTTCATTGATTTCCTCTCTCTCTGGCCTCCTTTGCCTTTTAGTAAGCCTAATTACAGATACAAACATTGGGATTTTGACTGGCTTTTTTCCTCAACTTCTCTGATTTGTGTATGATGTTTTTGGTTGTAAAGATGAGATGAACTATTGCCTCTTTCTGCTAGTTATGTTTGGTCCTGCTATATGTATATCCTTTTCTCCCTGTGCTTTTATAAATCTGATTTTTTATTTTTCTGGCAAAAAAGAAGATAATGGTACTCATAATCTATGACCACCCTTCAGCTCATTTTAAGCAATAAATCCATTTCTTGTTTGGTGCATCATTGACTAGATGGGAGCCTGATTCTTACTTCGTAACTTGTTCAGCAAATGGTCATACCAGTTTGTCTAAGGGCACACATAAAAAACATAAAAATTTGGAAATAAAAAAGAAAAAAAAAATTTGGAAGATATATAACCTATCTTTATTGTAAGGCACAAACTGTTCTAAATTTCCAATGAGATAGGTAAGATGATTTTTGTTGGTGCTAGAAAAATCTTTGGAGCAGTGGGGTGAATTTCATAAATCCATTTTATATTATTGACCGATGGATATGCGGACCTTCCAAATCCCTATTATATGAAATGATTGACCAATGGAAACACCGTTAACCAAATTTTACGCAGCTTATGATCTATTTAAAATTATTTATATAATAATCGAAATGATTTGTTTTGTTCTGTGCCTTAAATAAGTATAGAGTAGCAGTAGATTATTAATATCTGTACTCTTTATATCTAGCTTTGAGAATATCTGGTGAATGGTTCAATTTTCTATCACCGTAATTAAATATGGTTAATTACTTTATCTGCAATGAGTTTGAATAGCTTCTCATTACTCTTGACTCATTGTTTGTGCAGAATATGTGTTCATATGCTTCATTTCCATATATTAATTCCCTGTTTCTTCAAGATTTAGTCGTATTTCTAAGATCTGATATACAAATATGTTGACCTGTAGATGAGGTTTTTAATAAGGTGGACTGTGTCAGGAAGGGAAAGTAGGGAAATGCATGGACCAACAAGTGAATTAATTAATAGGAGAATATTGCTATTTCAATGCTTTAATTACTTGGGTGGCTTCAAACAGGCTGGATTTGAGGTGCAAAGTTTGTGTTTGCAACACCTATGGAGGGATTGTTTATTTGGAATGTGATTCGAGACTCAATTCAGCATTAGAGAAAACAAATAGATTCTATCTCTCTTGATACTTGATTGCAATTGCTCGAGGAAATATTCTTTACTTCATAATGAATACATACTATACACAAAAAGGAAAATGTGCTGAAACAACAAAACAAAATATGCTGAAACAGGATAAAGTGAGACACTTTTGGAATCTCTTTAGATATCATTTATTTTTCAGTGAAAAAAATTGATTAAAAACTTCAACCTCTAATTTACATCTTGGAAAAGGAAGATGAAAAAGAATGACAAGATATACATCTCAAGTGAGCAAATAGTTATTGTGAAATGGTTTTGACTTTGTTTGGATACTTATGCATTGGTAGTACCACCCTTCATACTATAAACTTATTTCTGCACTTGAAAATAAAGGTTTCCATAAAGATTTGTGTTTCATTTTCTTTGAGCAACCATAGGCACTTCGGGTGAAGGAAGTTGAGACAGATGGATTATGGCTGATAATTTAAGACGATGAATAACCTCGGTTGTCTTTATTTTCTATATCCTTTTTGTCTTCAGAGCTGCATATTGGAAAACAGTTTATGAGGTGCAGTTAATTCTATGCTATATTTTCCCTTGCAAATTTGGTTTCAGATTTACCATTCTATGTTCTGGGTACTTCTGCTGGTGACTCGGACTTCCTTGGAATCTTGCACTTGAGGTGATACATCAGATTTCTCTGTTAGCAGACTTGATAAACTTTTGCAGAACTGATCATTAATATTTTTAGGTCAGTAGAAATTCATTAATTCTTCACAGACATGATCAGCTCTTAGAGAAGTCACCATACCTCTTTGTACACTCTTAGCTCCCCTGCTGATTTTGATATTTCTATGACACAATTAGTTGGAGCAACCTCAATAACCTGACATTTGACAAATATGGTGGTAAAGCTCTGTGCTACTTATCTTACAGTAAGAGCTATTAAAATTATTTACCTCTGCTGAGAGGTCATAATGTGATCTGGAACATCTAGTCATCTTCTGGTTCAGTTTCGGATGCATTTTTATCTGAAATGGTTGAGCAAAAAGTCAGTAGTCGCACAGGAATAGAAAAATCCATCCTCAGTAAGAAACAGATTTTACCTTGAATTTGTTCATCCTTTGCCTTTCAATTGACAGACTAACGTCCATTGCTGCAGCCTCTATTTTTTTTAAGGTTTCAGTGACTGGAAGCTTGGAGCCAAGCCTTGTTGTCGTCTTCATGTCATCCTGAGCCAAAAGGTTTCATTTAACATTATACAAGAGAACCAATGAAGATTGTAGAAAGATAAATTCTAGGTTCTGAAATGTGAACATGCCTGTCCTTCAAAGAGACCTGATAAATCTAGGTCATGTGACATTGCTATCAATTGAAAAGCATTTATAAAACTGGGAGATTTGCGAATCTTTGACTCTGCACCTTTCTCCTGCTCAAAGAATTTCAGACATTTAGATAAAATTACCCTTGGCTTGATAATTTCGGACATCTAGATAAAATTACGAAACTGTGTCTTACTACCATATAGAGGGCTTACCTCAATTGAATCAAAAGCAGCATTAACATCATCCAAATGGATTTTATCATCGGATTGATATACGCAGGAAGGTTCATAATCTGTTTGAAACCATGAATCCTCAGTGATCTCTAGCATTGTTATTCTCTGTAGTAGTTAAGGAAGAAATTATTATGGGATTACTCTAGTTAAAAAGTTCAAATAGAATTAGAATGTTTTGGTATTATACCGTCTTTGGAATTGGATTTAGTATCCTTGAGATTAGATTCTTCTGACTCTCTGTAAACCAATTAGGAAATTTGAATTCTGCTCCGGCTATCTTTATACAGAAATTGATATCAGTGGAGATGAATGTTGGGATAAAACACAAAGTCAAATTCTATGTATAAAAGCATACCTTTCTATACAGAACCATTAGGTTACGATCATCAAATGGTAGATAACCAGCTAGTAGTTCAAAAAGGATTACTCCACATGACCAAACATCAGCGGCTGCTCCATCGTAGCCCTTGTTTGAGAGCAGCTATTCACCAGAAGATGAACCATCAGTCGTGACATTAAAGGAATTCAGGTATGGTTTTGTATTAAACAAAGATTAAATTCTTGTTTCCATTTGTATTGCACTTTTCTTACCTCTGGTGCTACATAGCATGGGGAGCCACAGGCTGTCGTTAGTATGTCTCCAGGCTGTTATTGATTAGATTTTCAGCCACACATTAGTGAAACTGAAGCAATTACCTATTAACTTTAATAATAAATGAATATCAGGAAACTAGAAAATAATATTTTTACCTTCCGCAACGCACTAAGTCCGAAATCGGATACTTTGAGATTTCCTTTACTATCCAGAAGCAAGTTTTCTGGCTGTAGAAATTTAGCAAGATTATAGTTTGTCAATACCAACTCTTATGAAGAGAATAACTGGTAGAGAAAGTTAGTTATATCATATATGGACCTTTAGATCTCTATGGTAAACTCCTCTGTTATGGCAATAGTCAACTGCATCAATCAGCTGTTGGAAAATTTTTCTTGCCTCTGGTTCACTCAGCTTCTTCACATATGACTATGTGGAGCATTGACGATTAAAAAATGTCATTAGAAACTATCTCTTGAATAGAGTTTTTGAATCCAAGATTCAATTTGATGATTCTTACCAATTTGTCTGAGAGTTGTCCTCCTGATACATATTCCATTACTATATAAATCTTTGTCTTTGTGCCGATTACCTGTATCAAACTCAAATTAGGCATAAGAAGGAAAAATTCCGGGGACAATCAAGAATTTTTATTAATCTGAAACTGTAAAACATACCTCATGTATACGAACAATATTGGGATGATGCAAAAGCTTCATTGTTCTTATCTCTCTTTGTACCTGTAGTTTGAATTTGGAAGAGTTAGAAGTAATCAATTTGGCACTGCTCTTTTCTATAACAGATTTATTTCTCTGTAAGGAGCCAGAAAAGAACAATCAAAAAGAAGAATGAACAAAGAGAAGGTTTAGAAATTCGCCTGACACTTGAGATCAGTTTCCAAGACCATATGCTTATCAATGATCTTGATTGCAACATATTGTCCATTCGTGGTGTCTACTCCGAGCTTAACCTTCGCAAAAGTACCTTCTCCAATTGTTCGCCCAAGATGGTACTTCCCTATGTAGTTAGCATGTCCCATTCTGCAAGATTAACAAACTCTAAATCTCAGTTTCTTCTTCTTCTTCTTGTTATTATTGCTGTTGTTGTGTTGTGTTGTTCTTCTTTGTCTTCTTCGAATAAGGAAACTAATTCTGGTTTTCTAAACACCTTGCAAATGCTCTTTATATCCTTTATGTAATAAATCTCTGT